TAGAGCATTGCACAGACGCTAGCACGCACGCGCCGCACGCGTGCACGAGGACGCCGCCGAACCGGTTGGAACGGGGCTGGCGTCTGTGCGATGCTCCAGCTGCTCCTGGAGGATCGCGCAGGCGCTGTATGCGTCCTGCGCATGCGTGGAAGCGCAGAACTCGTCAAAACTGGGTAAGCAGCGCGGGCAGGCGGGTGGGCCCTTCGCCGTTCCCGGAAGTTACTTACTTCCGGGTTCGTCGACCAACCGGTTCGCGGGGACCGCCGCAAACCGGTTGAAACCCACCCCTGGCGTACCACACTTTGGGAAACACTGCTTTAGAAGATAAAATAAAATCCTGAGGTAAAAACTCTCCTGGGTTGCCTTCAAAAGTGCTTCTCGGTTACCAGAAAGCGACAACGGGCCGGGAACATGACCCATCACTCAACAGTCTTGTGTTTTCCTTCTCTAGTTGCCCTTGCCCAGCAAGTGACGGTCAGCCATGAGGTCACCGGGTACCTGGGGAAGAGAGTGGTTCTGCCCTGCAACATTGCGGTAACTGGACCTGACATGAAAGTCAGCCAAGTGACCTGGGTGAAGGAGGTCGGAGGTCGGAGGCAGAATGTGGCCGTCCACCATCCAGTGCATGGACAAAACTACCCGATGGAGAAGAACAGCAGGCGGATCAGCTTCTCCACACAGTCCTTGACGGACGCCTCGCTGATCATTGAGCACCTCCTCATGACGGACGAGGGCACCTACTCCTGCGAGTTTGCCACCTATCCCAACGGCAACGAAGTCGGCACCACCAACCTGATCATCTTAGGTAAGAGCCAAGAGCCATTTGCCTTCCCTCGGCAGGGGAAAGCCCTCCAGCTAACACTTTGCAGGGTTCCCACCCACCCACACCCAAAATGAAGTTGCGGACCACTGAGGTTGCGGTGCGTGGAGGAGCTATTAAGGCGTGGCTCCACACCAGTGGTGGGTCCCAGATCCCGTTGCAACCGGTATGGTTGGAATGGGCCCGCCGTCGCGCACTCGCCTGCAACGCCTCCGCAAGCCTCCGCAAGGCTCAGCAGAGCATAGCGCAGGGGCTGTACGCGCCATGCACGCACAGAAGCGCCAAAGGCTTAAAGGACAGGTAAGGTACTCGGGCGGGCAGGCAGGCGGGCGGGCCCTCCAGAGGAATAATAGTAATATAGTCTTAGTAGGTAATTTGACAGTGTTGTGGGAATTAGTTGTTTAGTAGAGGGATGGCATTTAGGAGAAAAAACTGTCCTTGTGTCTAGTTGTTCTGGTCCAATAGGCCAAAACAACAATAACAATCGGTTAAATACACGAATGTCTGTTTGAGAAAGATAATTTTAAAAGGCCTAGAGACAAAGGAACACCCTCTCTTCTAAAGACCCCCCCAACCAGCCTTAGAGTTTATTCCTTCATTTGCTGAACCACTCCAGCCTTGCCCCGAGAGTCCCCTGGTGGTTGTGGGCCCCTTCAGCCCGCTGACTCCCCAGCGCGCGGAGCCAACCACATCTGTTTCTATGCCCCCTGCATCTGGTACTCAAGTGTTCCTCACGGTTTTGAATGACTTCCCAGGGGCTGTTGTGTGCTGAAGCAGATATGCTAGGTCATGCATTCGAGGATTGCGAGAGAGAGAGAGAGAGAGAGAGAGAGAGAGGGAGGGAGGGAGAGAGAGAAAGAGTGGGAGAGAGAGAGAGGAGAGAGAGAGAGAGAGAGAGAGAGAGAGCGGCCATGTCCCCATTCTTTCAATTAATTACGGGCCATTCATTTATTGCACGATGAACTAGGCTAATGACACTTAGTAATAGTGGAGGAGCAAAATACCACCACCCTTCCCCCCCCCAAAAGGCTGGAGTCTGCTCAGATCTTACACTACTTCAGATTCACTCTCCAATATCTGCAAGGAGATTTGGTAAAGGGGTGCTCTTTCAAGTTAGAGTAGAATTAGATGAATAGAATA